ATTAAAAAATTAATGATTACTAATTATTAGTGAAGCTTATTTCTTATATTGCCCACCTATTCTATAGAACATCCTAAAAGAAATTTTTTTGTTATTAAATAAATCTTAAAAGTAAATTTTATCTAAATTTTATATATAAACTTTAGATATATTAATTATTAAAAATTATATATATAATCTATATAATAAATTATGTAATTATTAAAGGCTTTATCTATTCTATCTATACTACTTCTCCAATATTATAAAAGTAATTCAACATAATGCAAAAATTTAGCATTAACAAAAATATAACAAATACAAGTATGCATGTGTATAAACATATAAAAAGGTTAATAGAAAACAAGAAAATTGGTTTTAGTAACTTTTTTTTAAAAAAATTTAAATTCAAATATCTCTAAATATTAAGCTTAACTTGATAAAATTTTTTATATTAATTTTATAATTATATAAAATTAAAATAAAAAATATTAAACTTAACTTGATAAAATTTTTTATATTAATTCTATAATTATATAAAATTAAAATAAAAAATATTTATTAAGTTTGGTTTAATAGTTGTTAAAATATTTGAATTATAAGTTTACTTAGAAAAAATTTGGCTGTTTTCTATTGACCTTCCTCCATATATTTACTGTAATGTTAGATATCATTCTACTAGCCCAGCTATGACAAATACAAGTATTATATACTTTTATTAGCAAAAAAAATACAAAAAAATATTTAAAAACCTTTGCTCCTATATAATCACTACATATCAGAATCTAAATTAAATATACAAAAAATATATATTATTCAATTACAAATAATAGATCCTATTTGAGAATATTGATCATGTTCAACTTTAACCATCAAGGTAAATAATTTCTTAGCTAATTTTCATTATCTTTAATCCATTTTGTTAATTTATTGTTTTTAATTATTAAACTCTTTCAATTAAAATTTCTTTACCTATATAGGTAGTAAGCTTTCATTTTTTCAACGAACGTTATAACGGAACCGGTTTTACTTAAAGTTGATAATTATGTAACTATCAAAGTTTTTTTTTTAAAGATCTACAGATGGTAGAGTACAAATACGTTAAAAGATTGATTTTTAAAAAATAAAAACAAGAAATATCGATTTGTAAAAAGTAAAAACAAAAAATATTTATTATAAAAAATACAAACAAGGAATAAAAAGAAATATCGATTCGTAAAAAGTAAAAACAAGAAAGTTATGCTTTATTTATATTGATTAATGTTAATATCCGAAGTAACAAAATTCTTTCACAACCACGGCCACACACATGCCCGAGGTTTTTTGTTGGTTGGCTGGGAAAGATTACGTTACTGTTAGTTATCACATGATACCAAATTGCAAGGGTTAACGGCACATCACGAAATTACCAAGCCATAAACTTAATAAAAAATGAACAAGATAATTTTAATATAAAGCAACATTGGGATTATGCGATTTTAAAAGAAACCGAAATTAATTTCCTACAAAATTGATAAGGTACTTTCTCAGACGAAAGATCTTTTTGAGCTAATTTTAGAGAGAGGCCCATAAATTAATCACATTATATCGCGAAATTGACATTAAAGTCAAGATGCATTTACTAATTAAAAAAAGAAAATATCGAGCATATAGGTTTTATATTATAAGTAAAGAACACAAAAACTAACGAAAGATCAAAAAAAAAGAATTATAGTTAAATTTGCGATCTAAGTAAGCATATCTTGGAATCGTCTAAAGCAGGGTAATTTTTAAGTTGATTAATAATAAATTTGTAAAGTAAAAGTCAAGTGAGGCATATAAATTACTACCTGGCTTTAGGCGATCTCCATATCTTCATTTTCGGCTGATGCTTGTTCATTATCAGTAGCCATGCCGTCACCATTTTCAGCTGGTTTATCTTGGGGTGGCTCACCATTGGCATTATCAGTAACCATGCCGTCACCATTTTCAGCTGGTTTATCTTTGGGTGGCTCACCATTGGCATTATCAGTAATCATGTGATCATCATTTTCAGCTGGTTCATTTTTGGATGGCTGTCCATTGGCATTAATCTAAATAATTGGAAACGAAATCATTTAAGTCAAAAACGTTATAATATTTAAGAAATTTTATAAGGTTAGATCATATACCTCCTTTTGATCCTCTTGCTGAAAAAAATTAAAGTTCTCAGGCAAGCTTCTAACTAAATTAGCCATTTTTTCAAGAATTCCTTGACCTTGTTCTACTGTGCCATTAAATTTATTTTCAATATTAATTTCATCATGCTTTTTGCCTTCGAGAGACTCTGCTATATCTCTTTGATTTTGTAATGGTTCTTGAAAGGCGGCAAAAAATGTGGTTAATTCTTTAGCATATTCAGGGGAATTATGATCAAGAGTTTGTTTGCTATTTTTTAAATCTTTATCAAACTTTTCGCTTCTACCCTCTAATATTTCATGAAACCCAAACAAAATATGTTGTAATCTTTCAGGGGAATTATTTTCATTGATTCCAGTGGAGCTAATCCAACGGTAGAACTCTTGTTTAATTTCCTCTTGAATAAAAGGAGGCTTATGCTTAATTGTATTTTTAAGCCCAAGTAATACAATCGAAAAACATTCCTCAGCGTCTTCAGGTCCATCAATAGTTCTTTTAACTTCATTATTAGGAAATTGCCTTCTTGCATGCCAATCAGGATAATAACCGGCTATCTCAATATACTTTTCCAAGAATTCCATCGTGTCATGAAAGATTTCATGGGTTACTTGTCTATCATAAGCAGTCACGGCTTCTTGCCTTTGAATTTGTTGTTGGTTCATTCTCTTACTAATATCATTATGTTGCGGATGATATGTGTCAAATCCGCTGATTTCGTTATGTTGGTGCCATTCGTTGTTATCGCAAAATTGGTATGAGTGGTTTTTGTTCTGTTGGTTTGAGTACTGTTTGTTATTTTTTTGATAATTTTTTTGATAGTTTTGAGCCATTTTTTTTTTTTTTTTTTTTTTTTCTGAGGATTATTCACGGTATATATTTTATTTAGAAGTTATATTAAACCGAGTTTGTCCAACAATAAAATTGTAGATTTGATTATACGTTTTCATGAGTTTCATAAATAAGCATAAAGTAATCAATAGAGTTCAATCATTTATCCGGTTATCCAATATTTGATGGATAATTGGATAAAATAGATTAATCGTTTGACAATTAAAAATTCTAAGGTAATCAACAATATAAATTCATTTGACAATTACTTTTCTAAGGTAATAAATAATACAAATTAGGGAAATTCTATTTACATTCGAGTGAAAATAGAATTTCTCTAAGTTATGTTGTTTACTACCTTATCCCTAATAAATCGGAGAATTCGGTTGAACCAATGCTAAAAATTAGTTGTGCATGTATTGTTATCTGCACAAAATTAACGATGAGCTGTACAAAATGCACAAAAATAAAATAACATTTACGTATACCGTGGGTTAAACCATTTGGTTATCCTATTTAAGAGATATAGCATGTCGGATAAATAAATGACGGATTAATTCGGATTGGAACTCTAGTAGGCAACGATAAGACTAATTTTTTATTCAAAGGCAAAGATAATAAGATAATGGTAATTTCCGTCTCCTTATCTTCAAATTAATGAACCAATAACAAACTAAAAAGGCTTGCAAAATGTTTAGGTTCTTTCAGTTTGTTTATTTTTTTAAACAAATTCTTAATTAATCAAATTACTAGGCTACGCGCGTCAAAAATCACTATAAAATGTAACGCATTTATCAGACCAAATACGTATTATTATTTAATTGCTTTATTTGGGTGGTCACGTATTATTATTTAATTGCCTTATTTGGGTGGTCGCGTATTATTATTTAATTGCCTTATTTGGATGTATAAAGCGCAAACAAATGCCAGGTTATGTCGATCATTGTGTCAGCAAAATTTTTTAAGGCCATTAATGTTAGGATTAGCGTTTAGAATAAGGTTAGATATTAGGTGACTAGATAGTAAAATCGCTCAAGGAAAACTTTTTGTTAAGGCACTAAAGGTGGTTTTTTATGCAGTGTTTTGAGAAATAAACGATTTTTAACAAAATGAACGTTTGTTATAAAATTTTCTGATCTCATTACGTTACACCTTATCCCTGAAATCTGATTTGTGGATCAGATCTGCGCCATAATGATCGACAAAGCTTGGCATAGATTTTTTGTTTGCAACAAAGAATGTGAAAAATGGGACCATTTACAGTTACCGTGGGTAAATACCAATCGTACACATTTAAATTAATTAAATCGTTATTCATTTGTATGTTTTTATGTATTAAATTAACTGATATATATGATACAAATTAATTAATTTAATGTATTTTATGTATTTAGGTACCACTATGACAAAACTCTTCGGCAACAGATAAATAAGATTTCTATAAGTTTTTGTCTGAATGAATTAATATATGCTTTGAAATTGGAATTAAAACAAATAAACCTTTATGCAATAGGTAAATACTTCAATTGTTTGTTTTACGTGAGGGAACCAGTACTTTAACTTCATTTTATCATTTAATACAACCAAATTATTTTGATAGAAACTTAGAGTTCCAATCCGGATTAATCTATCCGACATGCTTTATTCGGATAACCAAATTGTTTATCCGAATTATTTGATGTATTGTAGATTACAAAGGTCTAAGGTACCAACAATCTACATTAAAGAAATTCTATTTTCACCCGCATGTAAATAGAATTTCCCTAATTTATATTATTGATCACTTTTGAACTTGTAATTGTCAAATAAATTTATATTGTTGATTACTTTAAAACTTTTATTTGTCAAATGAATCTAAATAATTTATTTGATAATTCGGCTATTCATTAATCTATTTTATCCAATTATTCATCAAATATTAGATATCCAATAGATAACCGGATAAATGATTTATGGATTGGAACTCTATAAAAAACATCAAATTCACATTTCAAATTAAAAGTCTTTTACACTGATCAACGATTTTATAAAGATTTGGAATTTAAAACAGATTTTCCTCATATAATAACAAATCTGCAAAATGAGTGAAAAGTTTGTGGATTTATATGTATCCTGTCCGGCGATGAACTGTACAAATCGAACAATTACTTATTGGGTTCATTCAACTGATTCAGGAAAAATTGAGATATCTAACCGTGCCCGCATGCGATGTACCTATTGTTATACTATTGAACATATGAAGAACTGGTGTTTTGCTTGTTCTAATCACAAAGGAGTTTATAAAGCAACATGTTACGATTCATTCACAAAGGCCTTGAATCTTGCCTTTAAGAATCAAGGTAACAAGCAAGTAATGAAGGAGTTGCTCATGTACTTGTATGAAAATGACTGGTAATCACCTAAAAGGTAAATAATAATAAATTATGACTTCTTGATAAGAATATATTATAGAAATTAACATTCGATTATAAACTTTTCAAATAATAGATAATTAAAGAATGTTTCCTTGATGGTTAAAAGAAATATAAAGAAACGACCTTTTGTTTTGCTTTAGTTCGACACCATTTATTGACTTGTTTTTTTTTTATCAAAACCTATAACACTAAATTTTTATTTCATAAATTATCGTTTTTTTTTTTTTTTGATTGTGTATAGCAATAATAAAATTGCATACGTGAGTAACTTTTCCGATTTCAATTTGACTCGAAGCGATATGTAGCAAAGATAAACTTTAGTGCCATCAAAGTTTATAATTTTTTACATCAGAAGTTTCAAACTGTAATAAACTTTTAAATGCATCTCTTCAAGATCGTTCTATGTTTATCTTTTCGATCCCTATGTTGATGATTATATTACCCAAGGCAGTGAGGTCTAAATTAGTTGATTTTTTATGGTGAACCGAATTATTGTTCGAAGAACATCATATTGCTCCGAAAATATCCGATTAGGTTCATTTTACTTTTCAAATATGAGAAAGAGCAATATCCCGAATTATTTAACTACAAGTGTACTCTTATTTTATAGTCATGCATGACTATCGAACAGCGTAGTTATTGTCAAGATAAAATGTAAACTGTTTATATGCCTGGAGCGTATTATATGATAATTATCCTGCGTAAATATGCATGTTTTTATTACCCTAATTTACAATTGAACACGCGTGCGGACAAAAATTTTTAAATTACATTTTTTTGATGTGATCTTCAGAAAGTAACTATGATAGTCAAAATGCATCAAAAACGTAACTTTTATATTACCTTGAGCAGACACTAAATGTCTAGAGTATAGCAACAAATCAATAAACTTTATTTAATTTAACCATTTGATTGCACCTAATAAATTGATTAAATAATGGTAATTTTCTAATTTTCTAACTGCACCACTGTAATTTGTTGATTCCGTTCGTGATAAAATATTCTGCAAAATTATGTGAATTAGAATTTGTTGGTTATAAAAAACTTCAACAAATGATTGCGAATCATTCCGGATTTCGAACAAAATTTAGCTAGGCCACGCTCGACTTATATGTTTATTTACTTTCTACATCGGGACTTTTCAATCGTTATATTTTAGTAAAACAATAAATCTTTTTTAAAAGTATTCTTTTAAAAAAAATCTTTGGTATGGTATGCGACTGTTCCAAATATATTCGTATCTCGTTCGCATGTAATTTAGGGGAGGGACAGGGGTTAGGATTAGGGGACCTGGCATAGCAGTCATTGGCATGCCACTATGGCATGCCAATTGAGGCATGCCTATGGCATGCCTAAATCTCAAATAGGTATTAGGCATGCCACATATATAGAGTTCTGTTATATCGGGAAAATCTTAGGCTAAAGATCACTTTCGTCCCTAAATTCTTGGTTCGGATCCAATAAAATTACAAAATTTGCATAATATAAAAAACTTAAGGAATTATAATAAATAACAAATATTTACTGACAACTAACTTCCGACCTCTAAGTAGAAGTTTTTGACATATAATTTTAGTTATAATACTGTAATACAGTTTTTAATATTAATTAAATATATTGAATTTTCTCACTCATACTATGAGTTATTGCATATTTGTGCATATTACACTCAAATAGGTGGCTTATAGAGACAACAACCACAGTGAACTATCATGTATTTGTATACATTACACTCAGTCAAATTCTAAGTTTTGTTGAAGTTTTGCATTTATATGCTTTATGCTTAGTACTCTTAGATTGGGTCAAATCATGGGTTTCTCATAGGTGACCTATCAGCTCAACAGTCACAGTTTATTATTGTTTGCATTAAGTTTGGATTTGACCTGTCAGAGGGCAATCAAACCTTAAGTCTGGCAGTTGGCCTGTTGGGATGACAGCTACAAGTGAATTATCACGTATTGGATATCAATAGGATTTGATGGTCAAATAGCGCCTAGTGCGAAAGTAACATTTTTGAATCGATCACGAAGTAAAATTAATTAAGGGTAATAAGTGGCCTGTCAGGATGACAGTCACATGAGTTGGTAATAAGTGGCCTGTCAGGACTAGTAAATTGACCGTTCACCTGTGGGTGAACCTGTTGAGCTAAACCGGGTAGACTAACAGGTATTCCGGGTATTTTCAGCCAATAACTGATGTTTATTTACATCAGGTAAAATAGAATTGTTAAAGTTTAACATATCCTATTTTACACGATGTAAACAAACAGTACCCTAGCCATCCAGAAAAAAAAGTGGCAGTCACGTGATTTCGGCCAATCAGCAAAAATGGATCAAATATAGTATAGCGGACACCATCAGCAAAATTTCTGAAAAGCCACATCATGTGATCACAAGATGTATATTAGTGGCTTGATTTTC